AATTTACTAATTTTCCTGTATCCTGGAAATCATTCCCACCGTTAACATATCTTCTCCACTTCTGTCAAGATCTCTCGAGCCTCGAACATTTACCCACTTCATATCGCTATCTCTTTATACGTTAAAGTTTTCGTCAACTTACATTCCAGCTGATATTAATATAAGTTTTCATTTTGTTAATGTCAATGTCAGTTGCTCACCAAAAACTCATCAACTGAGCTGAGCGATAAATGAGTCAAGCGGCGTAAGGATATTATATTATATACACTTCGTTATGAAGCTTTTTCTCTTTAAATATAATATTGCTTTACGCATTAAATGCTCGTTGCATACAAACGCATAGGAATACATATGCACTGCTTATGGTATATGCATATACATAATATATATATATATATGTATATATATATATTAAGTAGTGGACACTTGCCACTTAACATTTACGACGAAAGTTTTGCATTCGAAATTATGGCGTGTTTTCTCCAATTTTACCACTACTTGATATCTCATTTTACCACACCAACACATGCGCGAAATATTGAGCAAATTAATATAGTTTAACTACTATCTTTTGTTAATGGAATTTTGCGCAGGAGGTTGGAAATGAGTGGGTAGGTGGTGGTGCAGTGATAGTAGTGCATCGAAGTGGAGATTTTTTTAATAAAATAATGATTTTTTCAAGCTCATAAATCATGGTTTGCTTGCTAACTGACTTCAAAATATTTATCCTCCGACAAATCCAGCATCTTCGTCTGGATTTTAATTAATTTAAAAATTATATAAATTCAAAACTTATGACAGTCGGAAAAAAAGTATTTTACTCTTCTTAGGTGTCAATTTCGTGCCTGAGCGTTGTGATTTTAGTAAAAGAGAATTAAGAAAATAAGTCTACCTATTGTGAAATCAATCAATCACCTAATTTTAGTATTAACTATTGATTCTCATATCTGAATAAATCGGTGTATGAGAGCTATGGGTTATAGTTGTTCAGTTTTGAAAATTTACAGTACCAATATGCATCTTATTATATATTCTATCTTTATATACATACATGAATGGTCCCCACAACCATAGTCTAAACCACTGATAGATTTTCTGGAAAGAGCACCTGAAACCGATCTATTCGAAAATGAGCACTTTTTCTATCGGAAGTTTTGTTTTTAATAGTATTTTATACAGTTTGGCCCTAATTACCATTGGAAATCTTATCATCATATATATTTTTTTTCTTTTGCTTAGCATGGTAGTTTACAAATTAAAGCAAGAACGTATTAAAATTCCATGCGGACGCTGACGCGGGCAACCTTTATTATTTACAGCAGAAAATTTTCGAAAATTGGTAGGACAAGAGAACGCTTAAATTTTTTAAATATTTTTTTTTTTGCTAAAATATTTTGTGTGATTTTTTGCTTAAGTTTTTTTTTTATTTTTGTTATATTTTAAATTTTTTTTGTACAATTTTTTAAAATTTTAAATTTTTTGGTTACCTTTTTTGCTTCATTTTTTTTTATTATTTTTTCCTAAATCTTTTGTGTTCAACAATTTTTTAAATTTTGTTGCTGGTTTTTTTTATAATTTTTTTTGGCTGAATTTTATATTTATTTTATTCTTTAATTTTTTTACTGTGCTTTTAGTGTTGATTTTTTTTAACTATTTATTATTTTTTAACGTTTCTTGGGTTGACTTTATGTATTTTTGTTTTTTATTTTTTACTTTAGAAATTTTTGTTTAATTTTCATGATAATATTTTGGGTCGATTTCTAAATTTATTTTTTATTTTTTTTTTTAATTTTCTAAATTTTTTATTTTCGGTTTTCTTAATATTACCTCCCAGCGTCGAGGAATATTAAATTTAATTGATTCTTAATTTTCTCTTTGCCTCAAACCTTCTTTATCTGATTTTAAGATTTTTTTCAATTTCGTTACTCAACGTTTCGACTCATTTGGTTGTCATGGAAAATATTTGTTGAACTTCCTCGGAGTTATTTGCATTTTGCTGCATACCCTAAGGCGCACAGCGGAGAAAATATAAAATATATGCATAGTGTCAAAAACTGCCTGGAAACGTTGAAATGAAAGGTCCTACCTCATCGGCCATACACTTTTCAGCTTCTTCCTTTCGAATACTGACTTTTTTGATGGACACAAACTGATTTGAAGCTCATGAAAAATGGTTTAATAATTGGATCGAGGAAAGTGAGAACTAACTTTTTTTTGAATGGTATTCGAAAATTTCCCCATAGTTGAGAAGAAGTATACGCTTCGCACGGTCAATGTATATATATATATATAAATTTTTTTATTTCAATAAAAAATACTTCTTTGAACACAAACAATGGCCCTAATTTATTTCTACACCCCAAAAAAATATCTAAATAAATTTAACTACTGGCATATTAGAATTTCCAGACAACCCATTTGTAAAAAAATTCAAAGGAAATAAAATAGTAAAAAATAGTAAAACAATCAATTAATTATTGAAATAAATATTTTATTTATACTTATTATATTTATTTCAGTTCAATGTTCTGTTTAATTTTAGTTTCATAGAACTCTTTCAGACCATATATTTTTGAGAATAGTTTTGGGCGGTAGTTTTTTAAATTTTAATACAATTTTAAGACTTTAAAAATAACATACATTAGTAATTCGGGTATGGTTCATATTTTTCTTCTAAGACGATTGTAAATAAAATGTCGAAATTAAACTTCTTTATACCTCAAAAATTGTAATCAACAATTGAGTAATTTTCTCAGAACTCCACCTAAGTAAGTTGGTTGATTGTTAAATTATTATTAATATAATATATTTAAAAAAAAAATAAAAAATTTTAACCTTTTTTAAAGATTTAAAAAAATTCTTAAAAATATTATATTTTGTTAAATTTTTTTTTATATTTTTGACTTTTCTTGGCTTCAGTTTGCTTTTGTCGGGTCAAAACTCTACAATATTTATTGATAAACTTTTTCATGAATAATTTCTTGAACGCAAGCCAGAATAAAGCTGATAATTATCCAACCGTGGCAATTAACAAATGAATAATTACCGTCATTTAATACTTCGCCACAGTGAACGCTGGCCAACCAAGCGGCAGCAATCAAATACAACAACGTTATTAATTCGAATGTAAAAAAAAATTAAAAAAAAGTAAACTCATCTCAATTAAAGTTATCTATATATATGTATACATATGCTCATTTTTTTAAATAAATTGGAAGTGAAAATTCAATACGCTTGCCGTACTACTATTTTTCACTTTTTTGTCTACCTCTATATATATATATTTATATATGTAGCTATATCTACATATATAAATACTTTGTGTGTATCAGTTGTCTGTGTATTTGAAGCAGTTGTAGTATCGGCCTCAAATGAAATGAATTCAAAGTGAAGAAATAATTGTATGCGGACTGTTTTACCCTTCCGTACGCATTATGCAAGAGTGAATATAAAAACGTCGCTTATCTTTATCACGGTTTATTTATTTAATCTCATTACTCGGCTTTTTGTTTTTATTTCGCCAGTTGCCGTTATTTATTTCCATTTGTTTGTGTGGCTGAAAATGTGAGCGAATTTTTAATTGCAATTTTTGTGTTGAAAGGGTTGAGAAGGAAATACAAATTGCATGTATATTGCATTGTATGTATGCGCATGCATGCTTGTAAAAATATTAATGTATTCATTTATTTACATATGCCTGCATGCGTTTAAATAATGAATGCGTGGTAAATAAAGGCTAAAGAAAATCATTTCTGCTTTATTATAATGTATTTGAAATAGTATTGAAATTTATGCTTAATTTTATATTTTCTCCTCTGTGCGCCTTAGGGTATGCAGCAAAATGCAAATAACTCAGAGGAAGTTCAACAAACATTTTCCGTGACAACCCATATGAGTCGAAACGTTGAGTAACGAAATTGAAAAAAATCTTAAAATTAAATAAACAAAGTTTGAGACAAATACAAAAAAAAAACAATCAGTGTTTAAATTTAATCTTCCTCGACGCTGGGAGGAAATATTAAGAAAACCGAAAATAAAAATATATAAAAAAGATAAGAAATAAAAAAATAAAAATAAAGCAAGAGTTCGACCCAAAATATTATAGAAAAATATTAAATAAAAAACTCAAAAGTGGAAAAAAAAACAAAAAATATACGAAATAAACCCAACAAGAAAAGTTATAAAAATAAAAATAAAATTCAACCCTACAAGTAGAGTAAAAGAATTAGAAAAAAAAAATAAAGAAAAAAACCATAAGTATAAAACTAAGCATAATTATATATATAAAAAATCAGTAACAAATTTTAAAAAAATTTTCAACACAAAAGGTTTAGCAAAAATATATTAAAAAATTAAGCAAAAAATGTTACACCAAAAATTGTAAAATTATAAAAAAATTTTACTAAAAAGCTTAAAATATAACAAAAATTAGAGAAAAACTTAAGCAAAAAATCGCGCAAAATATTGTTGGAAAAATAAAAACTATTTAAGTAATTCTTTTGCATAAATTCAGAACAAATTATTCAACACAAAAAGTGTGTCAGAAAAATTAAAACAACACACAAACGGCAAAAGAATAGAAAAGGAGGAATTAAAAAAAAAGAGTGTGAAAATTCAAAAAGAAAACACAAATAAATTAAAAAACTTTCTTCACCGTTAAGGTTGAGTAAAAAGTCAGAAAGCACAAAAGCAACACATGAAAAATGAATTTAGTGCAAAACTGAATGGGAAAAAATTAATAATAAATTAATTTAAAAAAATGCAACACAAAAAGTGTAGTAAAGGAATATTAAGAAGTAAGGAAGCAAGAATTTAAGACAAAATATTTTAGCAAAAAAAATTTAAAAATTTCAAAAAAAAACTAAATCATAATAGGAAAATATTTAACACATATAGTTAAGATAAAAAAAATTAGAAAAAAACGTAAACATTGAAATATAAAAATTAAGCACAAATTTTAGCAAAAAAAATTGTACCAAAAAAATTGAAAAGAGTCATAAATAAATCTTAAAAAATTTTCAGCACAAAAAGTGTGGCAAAAATTAATAACAGCGAGCACTAAAAGTAATCAAGCACGAAAGTTCCGAAAGCAACAACTAAAACAATCGCTGCAGTACATTAATACACGACAACAACAACACAAAGCGAAGCTATTAAATTTGCAAATTTACGCGAGATTTCATAAGAAATATCATAACTGTTATGCCTCAGCATACATCCACACACTTACACGCATACATAATTAAAAAGTTCACAAAAACCGAAGATATGAGCGACGTTTAGGAAAAATGAAATAAAAAGCAGCAAAACATAAAAAATTTCATACAAAAAAAAAATGCAGTAAAAAACTACAACAGTGTAAAAGAAAGAATAAACCAAAGAAGAAGCAGAAACCACTAAGAATTCTCCTCCTGCTTTAACAGCGAAAAATTTCAACAAAAGAAAATTCAATTTAAAACGCGTTAAAACATTTTCGCCTTATCCGCGAGTTTGTGTTGGTGCAGTTATTTAGAGCAAGACCGAGAGAGAGAGAGAGAGAGAGAGAACGAAAAAAAATCGCGCAAACAACAGTAAAAAGCAAAGGTAATTATGTGCATACAAACAGTAATTTTACACACAAACACATACACAAAAGAAATAAGAATTTTTTACTTTCAATTGCAAACAGCAAAATTGCTTACAACAACAAAGTTTGCGCCTGCAGGAAATCAGTTTTTAAATGTTTTCGTTTTCTTCCATTCTTTTTATGTATATACACACACACTCGCACACACACACATACACACTTAGGTAATCATGTCCACTGGCTTAGGCGTAAGCATTTTAAACAGCACCTTGCCGCTTGGTCACAAGCGTCATCAGAATTTACCTTATTATCAGGCTTTCGTGGAATTCGGAGCGTTGGGGAAGTTTACGTCAGCAAATCTTTTTTAATTCTATTATAATTTTTTGTGTATGTAGTAAGAGTGTGTGCGTTTTTTCTGTACGGCATAGACACTTTAAAGGCAGTTAATTCGTTGATGGCCTGCGCTCATTTGGGTGGCGCAAATCGGTCTAAGCCTACGCAAACTTAATCTACTCGGCCTTATTTAAATTAATTTATGACTTGCCAGCCTAGTTGTTTAGTAAACTGTAAAAATGTTAAAAAAATCCTCAAATTCTTTTGGGTGTAAAAGAAATTCATTTAATTATTTTAAATTAAATAAACATTTCTATTGTGCAGTCTTGTGTAAATATCTTAAGCTCAAATTGTATCCGAAAGCCGTACTGAACAAAGAAGTTTGCTCATATAAAAAAACAACTTATTTGATGTTACATATATTAGGTGTAGTAAAAAGTAATCCATTATTTTTGCATGAAATTGGATTTTTTGCCTCATTCAAATGGTTTCAAACGGGTTTCCCTGCAATTTTTGTTTCTTGAGCAATCGAAACAGCTTTTTCGCACTCACCGAAAAGTAACTATAAAATATAGCGCATTTTCTCTTTGCTTTGTGTATTTTTGATGTACGCTCGAACAAAACTGAATCAACCAATCATAAAACTCTCAGAAGAGTTTTTTAGTAGGAAATGTCACCTTTCTAGCCTCGTCTATCGGAACTCGTTCGGACGTATTCAAAGCGAGATACAGATAAATTAATAATTGGCGCTTTGAAGACGCCGATCTTCTCGTCCTATTTGTGGCATGCGTCTTGATATTTATTTACCGTTTATAGTAAGCCGTATCCGTAAGGCCGATGGATTATTATAAGGCGCATTTCATTGCAAGACAGAAATACACTCGGAAAGCTTGACGTTCCCCGCCGACCTGCAAAGGGCGACCGTTGTTGGAAAATTTAGATGTTGCTCAAAGCAACAAACCTGGCCTTCTGAATGGCAGTCCGCTATGCCAACAACTTTTTTTTTCACTAAATCACTTATTATAAGTAATAACATCGATAGTTGAGAGACAAGAACTCATTAATTCAAGGCTCCATCATTGAAAGGTAACATAATAATTTCCGCCAGCTGCTTCAGGAAAACGCTCCGTATATGGCATGCCGGCAAAAGAGTTACGAGGGTTGCCTTCGGAATCAATAAATCAAAACTCTCTTAAGATATAAGCACTCTGGCATGCGTTTAATCAATTGATGAAGCACTTTTATCGCTCTGATTGAGTTATTGCTAAAACGTGCGTACTGAGCGCGCCAACCAGCTCATCAAGTGTTGAAAAACGTTACTCTCTTGACGAAGAAATGGTTATGCAGCTTTTAGAATAGACTTAACTGAGATGCGGTTGCGACACGTCCAGTTTTTCTAAAGGCAAACAGGCAAACTTTTACTTGGATCAACTTTTGTTAGACTCGGTTGACATTTAAACACCCCTACAATCGACTGCTGTTTACCTTCAGCCTCATAGGTGGAAATTTGCGACTTGTAAACTTGTTTCGAAGCATCGACAAACATTTTCTTTTACATTTCTCTCAACCAGTCTTTTTTTTTAAGCGCTGAACAAATAGTGACTTGAGGAACACTTGAGAAACACTTGAGAAACACTTGAGAAACACTTGAGAAACACTTGAGAAACACTTGAGAAACCCTTGAGAAACATCTGAGACTGTCCGTCTTTTAGCCGATTAAGACATCACATCTTTCACGGATCTAACCCGGAGGTTACCACACCTAGTTGGAAGAAATTCAATAAGTTATAAGTTAGTGGGTTCAAACTGAAGGTCCATTGCTTTTGATGAATTGAATATTTTTATTATTCAACAAAAAAAAATGGTAGAAGTTACCAATACAGCTGTCACTACTACAACTGTCTTCACTTCGAAACCTAAATTTTCAGTTTCGACTACACTTGCTCAACTGGAAAAATCCTCGATGGCAGGGTGCTTTTCGAAGCTCACGCAGAACCACTGGCAATCGATTTGCGCAAGGTACTCTCCGACCACTACTGTGTAAAAGTAGTAGAAATTTCTTCATGTTACCAATCTTTGCAATGCACTTTAACGGTCAAGCTGCCATCAAGTCTTTTCAATGTAATTGCGCGACCGCAGATTGGTTTAAAAAAGGATCAATGTTCCGAATGTCCCTGTTTCGAGTACCCGGATATAAAGACATACCAGAAAACTGTAAAACCGAGGGAAACACATCTTAACTAGGGCAAAGATTTTCCTTTGAAAAATTAATATCAGAAGTCACAGTAAGAGCAATAACAGTTCGCAGGCTGAAACCGCTTGCAGTATGCTAGAACCGATCTGTTCATTGGTCAAAAGAAAGTTAACTAAATATTTATCTAAAGAGCAAACTTGAGTAGGAGAAACCGGTGTGATAACCTAACACTATCTGATTAAAGGTCATGGCGGAAGTAAGGTTTGCTGCTCTAGTTTTGTATATGGCATTTGCAGGAAAATGAACCCCCAGCACTGCCCAGCTCTCTGTGCGGCCTGACAGTGTACCCTCTTAAATATTTACTTCGGCTGGCTGACTGCAGAACTTGCTTTAACATGCTTGAGCTGTCTCGTGGTCTTCATAAAATTCACCAAATGATTTGAGCATCTAGAAAACCAAGTTCCATGTGAATTAATTTTTTTCAATATTCTTATTTCTTTAAATGTTTAGCCTCTCAGGTGACGTTGGCTATCTTGCATTCTCTTTTTAATTGAAATGAATACTTTTCTTAAAAAAAAGAAGACTATCACATTGGAAACCTTAAAATACTACATCGCTCTTCAAACAGTACCTTCGTCATTGCTCAGGTTGCCGTTCTAAGGTACTCGCTACAACAATAGCCTAACTCCTCGCCTAACTCTGGCACTCCCTTTCGCCTTTTCCATTAATTAGAAAGGTTATTTTTAATTCTATCAAAATGTCTGTACATTAAATTCAGTTACTGAAGCCGAAATCTGAAGTTGAAGATGACAACCCAATGAAGTGGAAACGCTGCTGAGGTGACATGTTTAGTGCGTCGCTGCGCCCACAAGAGGCAAGAAGGGAAAGAGAAAGAGAGAGAGAGAAAGAGAGATCGAGAGCAGGAAGTGTATACTAAACCCCCCACATAAGGCAAGACTACGCTTAAAACGTGAGTGAATGGGCTGGCCATAAGCAGCAGAAGCCTGTCAAGTAATTAATTTGAATGGCGTAAGCAAATTGAATCAGCCTGTAATTCATTGCTGTAAATGTCCAACAGTTAGTTTATTCATTGTATACAGAGAGAATAAGTGAAATGAAAACGACAAAAAAAAGAAAAACAATTCAATTAAGAAAATAAAAGCAAAAGCAACATGATTTGATACTGCATGAGGATGGAGACAAAGAAGGGAGGACATGACAAAGAGAGAAGCAAAAGGAGAGGTATACAGAGAGAGTAGTAGAGGAGTGTGCTTTTGTAAAGCCTAAAATGAAATCAGTTTATGTTGATTTTTTATTTTAATTTTGATTTTTCTTTATTTTCTTTCTATCCTTTTTGTGCTCTATCTACAAGCACACGCTGTAAGAATCCATCAAAAATGTCACGCAGCGTGTAGACAAACATAAAATGTGCACAGAAACTACTACATACCAGAGCTACTCCTACCAAATGCATGCCTATTATACATACATATATACCCGGCAGTGAAAAGCCAACGTAGTGCGCGACAATTCTAGCTTAAAACTGGTATTTCTTAGATCGAAACGCACTGGTTTCTCTATTGGGTGTTGAAATACCAGCAATGTGAAAAATAAGAGTTTTAACCTCAATGGTAATGTCAAAGCCACCCCATTTCAGTGAAGTGGAATTTTATCATACAAAATTGATTTGGTATTTAACTAGTTTGATACTGATGAACCTAGTGATAGACGAACGCCATGTCTATAGTCCTATTGACGTGCGCACACTCCCAAAATCTACTCAGACTACCACACTGTAGCTTCCAAAGTGTCACAAAGAAAAGTTGTCAATAAACTCAAGCGATCCCAAAAGACAGATGAATGCTGTCTATGAGCTCTCATCAGCAACTCTGTGTGGGCTGCCTACCTTGCAACGTTGCGATCGACACTGCTCGTAGATACAGAGAACTGAGGAGGGAGGCAAACAAAAAGAAAGCGGCCGAGCTGCCGAAGTATAAAGAGCTTAAGAAGCTGCCGGAAAATATTACAAAATGATGCATCGACCGGAACAAGCCCTTTTAGAACCCAGAGAGGTGATCTGGCGACTGTTGCTGAATGGCGGTGAAAATGAAATACCAGAATATGGTAAACCCAATTCCAGATATTTCTTTCCCCGACTATGAAGATGGTCGAATAGCAGTTGGTCGCTTGCAAAATAACAAAACGTTGGGAGCCAATGAATTGTTGACCGAACTATTCAAATACGGCAGTGAAGAGCTGAAGCTGAAGAGCTGAAGCTGTGTGCATTAGCTTCTTCTCAGAATATGGTCGGATTAAAGCATACCCGACGATTGGAACCTAAGTGTGATCTGCTCATTCCATAATAAGGAAAGTCCCAACAGTCTGCGCCACTAACTACAAGATAAGCCTCTTCAATATATCACATAAAGTCTCATCGAGCGTATTGTGTGATTTTTTCCTTCTGGCCTGAGATTTGATAGATCCACAATTGGCCACATATACAAAATGCGCAACGACCTGTAGAGCTGAATAAACAAGGCACAATCTTCTATAAGAGTATACAGCTGCTGGCTTACGCCGATGATTTTGATATCATTCGCCTCAACAATTGCTCTATGATTTCGACTTTCTAAAGAGTAGACAGGTAGGCAAAGCCTATGGTCTGGTAATGAGCCAGCACAAGGCGAAATATGTCTCATCATCAAACAAACTGGCATCGCTTAAGAGTCCAGTTTGTATCTAGCCTGGAAGTTTGAAATAACTCTTGCCAACAGATACATCTTTGGAATTAGCAGGTAAACCAAAACCAAACTCTATAACTCACTCATCACTCCCTCACAGGGGTAAACAGTCCGTTGCTAAGACTATTTGTAGCATGACCTGGCTGTAATTGGTATTTCCAATTGGCACCGAACAACTAAAAGAAGGAAAAAAGGACGCACTGATTTCAGCTTGCCTATAATCACGTAAGTGTATTCCTCCCTATAAAGAACAAGAAAAAGAATATGGTGATGGAAAATCGGATAATTGGCAACGCCATTTCAAAACCGACAGCTGAAAGCCAGGGGAGATATTGGAATATGAATTATGTATACAAATTCCAACCAGTAGTAAACTAGTCAAATAAGAGTATCTTTTCATACATTTACTAGTTACTAGAAAATATTTGCATAATCCTGTTTATGCTATACTCGTGTATATACATTACTACAAAACTACATTAAATGATAACCTTACTCTTTATATACTTACAAACCTTAACATAAATAATAATACTTTTTAACGAGTCCAACAAAAAGGTGTGTACAATGCGCCATATTCATCATCATCACCAAAAATCATTACCAGCAGCAGTGGCTTTATTTCAAATCATTTATCATTACTGTTAAGCAATTCAAATGGAAATGAGTTGGAAAAGCACATAGAAAATGGGAGCGAAATGCAAATTTTTTTTTATTTCATTTTTTTGTCTACCACGCCCAACGCAATGAATTACTACATTATTAATGAGGTCTATATGTAGTGCTGTATAGAGCGCCACGCCTCTTAACTCATCATCATCATCAGCATTAGTTTGACGTTTCGCTCTTTGATAAGCCAATTTGGCACTTTTCTACATACTTACCGGGGAAAGAGATGAGAAAACTGCTTGTGTCGCAAAAAAAAAAAAAAACTCCGGCGCATCAATCAATGTCGCCACCTGACTGAAGGTTTTGCGGTGATTAAATCAAATATTTTAATCAAGACTTATTTGCATTAGAAAATTGAGGGAGAGAAAGCTGTTGTAGATTGCCATGAATATAGATAAGAAATCAAGGTAATCGGTTGTTCATTTACAGTTTGTTTCAAGTGTAAATTTCTCTAAAAATCAATGCAATTGGGAACGGAATTCCTAAGATTAGGAAAGAGCAGTGGAATTGAATGCCTGGAGCACTAATGATAAAAATCAAAGAGTTTTATTCCAAAGCAATTACGAGAAAGTTAGATTCGAAACGGTACTGTGAGATTTCATTTTGATCACAATTTTTTCAATTTCTCTGAATATAAATAAGACAAAATGTTTGATAATTAGACCCGTAGTAAAATCTTCACTGCTTAAGCGAGGGTCACTTCTTCTACATTTTAAAATGATTAAATCACTCGAGTGATAACAAATAGTGGCCATCTCAAATGGCGTTTCATTCTGGAAAACTATAACAATAATTAATTTTCAAATCAATTTAACCCACTAACTACCTTAGAACGCACGTTTGGTGGAGAGTTCGTTGTTGTACATATGTCTGTCCTTTCAGGTGGGCCACTTAAAATATCGTTTTGAGCTGTCCTACCAAATTTTGCCCATGAAGTTGTATCCTTTGGCGTAAGAAACAGAACGTCATCTCATCATTGAAGGTTATGCTCGGCAGAAAATCATTTTAGCGGCTATAAGTGCTATCATTTACATGATATAATTTTCCCATTTTCTTTCGATGTAACCTAAACCAAGCGACATCCAGTCAAAAAGATTACATTTCAACTTTGTCATGGTGCAGCCCGAATGGGATGTAAAACCCCGGTTTGCCAGGTTC